CACGAGTACATACATGAAATGGCTACAAGGTAAGAGGATCCGAGGAAAAAAAGCATATTCCTGGTGTTATTGGGGCAATCGACTGCACGCACATAGCTATAAAAGGTCCAAGAGAGCAAAGATCAAACTATTTTATAATCGGAGGTTCAGCATATCCTTCCAATAATTGGCTTGTATCGCCCTTCAAAGAATGTGGTAATTTTACGGAAAGCCAGCGCAAATTTAATGAAATATTGTCCTGAACGCGAATGGTTGTCGAAAACGCATTTGGGTTACTAAAGGGTCGTTTGCGAGGGCTACTCAAATTTACTGAACAAACAGATTTAAAATCAGTCACATATATAGTAGCCAGTACATGCGTTTAACACAATATTTGCATCACTACGGATGATTTGTGTGAAGACAATGAAGCGGATTTTGAACGAGTTAAAGAGAATATGGAGGATTCGTACCTGTAGCCCATTTCTGTATCTTTGCGATATGAATAATATCGCAAAATGCCACCCTTCTGCGTAGTTATCGCAAGGTAGTGTTTGTGTAAGTGTGGTGTAAATGAATTACCTTGCGTTATTTATATCGCGAGCTCTAAATGTAGTGATATTTGACACCATAAGCAAAATTAATGAATTGTGTGTTTATCAATTCTTTATTGAGGGATTCACAAAGGTGTCGTAAGTGTCGTATTGTTGTATGTCGTAAACTTTAAAAGCTTAAATAAATGCTTAGAGAACTTGAAACGACAACCAACTATTATTTAACCCCGCAAAAATTCATAATATGACTTTGATGGTACTTTACGGACCCCTTTAATATATTTTTTAAGCGTTTAAAGTTTGCGACATACAACAATACGACACTTACGACACCGTTGTGAATACCCCATATATTTTTTATTTTATTACTTTTATTTTACACACTTTATTTTTTCTTTTACTTAGTTTTCATACTTTATTGCATTTTTTCTTACTTCTTCGCATCGATTAGTAGGGCTTAGCAACATAAAAAAAGGTTTTCCAAATGGCGGACGCCCTTCGGCACTCGTGCCATAAAAAAAGCTTCTTCGGAGGTGGAGTAAAAGTGAAGATCTTCCCATTTGTGTCACAACATAGCACGTAGAAAACGTTTAAGCGGCAAACATTCATTTATTGGAATCAAATATGATAAACTGTTCATCCCCAAATAACCTAGAATATAATTTTAAAACTATGTACGGGTTTTCCCCGTACTAAACTAAAGTTTTATTGAGGGGTCAAGAATTGTATAAAATAAAAAAATCGATTTGTTCGGTGGAAAAATCTGGTTTATTCGCTATTCAAAAAGTCATGATTTAAAAAAAAACGCCTAAATAATCTCCAAAAAACCTTGGAAAAACCGAGTCAATATCCATAATATACATGTATGTATGTGTGCATAAATATGGGTACATTAGCTCTTACTTGTTAACTAATCAAAATATGTGCAAAAAATTACGGATTTATAATAAAAATTTCACTTATTAAACTTTTATTTAATGTAAACAAAACAATTTCGCGCTAGAAATTACAGATGGTTCGTTTCATTCCAGTCGTACCATCGATATGTTAACAACTCACCACAGCCATATCGCAAGGTGAATTTTTTGAGTTACAGAAACACTTTTTAGCTGAAATACCGGCGAACGGCGAGCTCACCGCAGCGAAATTCGCGCTGTCAAAATTAGAACACCCGCAAGCAAATAAAAATGGACACAGCCAAAGCGAAATGCGAAGTTCGCTCGGCGATAGATTTATTTCTATTGCTCTGCTGGGCGATGACAGCTGTACGCACCAAAGGTGGCCGTATTTCTTTTTTGATTTCAAAGTTTTAGAAGAAAATAACATAAACACGAATAGTTTTTGTTGTTAGAAAAATGTAGTTGTGGATTCGTTAAATCTGGCTTGAAATAAAATAATTTATAATGGGTTCTTTCCCGTACGCAACGCTAGATCCGGCGGGTGCCCAAAACAGCTCAGAAATCACTCCCGTCCTCAACAAAATGGGTAATAGAGAGCGAAAGTTGGAACGTATTGGATTGTCTTATTCTTCCTGCCCGAAACAGCCCGGACTTTTTCTCCGTATAAAAATTGATAAAGTGTCAAAGTGCATATCAGCTGTTTTGTGTTTACATGTTGCCTGCATTTACTTGGTGCTTTTAAGGAATAGTGAATGTCCTGTTGATGTATTTTCAACATATATGTAATACTTTTATATTGGCAGTAAGCTATCTTCTCAATGTGTAAAAATTCCGAAATCAGAACGAGACAGTCTAGTACCATTTTTGTATATGTATTGTATACGTGTATATTTATGAACGAAAAAAATTCGAACAACTGTCAAATCACTCCAGGGGCGGATTTAATTTATAGTAATTTAAAAACGGCCAAGGTGTAGTTTAAAAAAAGTTAAACAACTTTGTGAATAGAAAAATAAATATTATTTCTAATGGTCCAGTATGTAACTGTCTTTCGTCATTTTGTTAATTGCCCGAATTTTTTACTTTTTATACGGTGTTACCTGACGACAGAATGCCACCATGATTCCAAACTAAATCATTATTATAAATGTACATACATACATATATGTACATAACACATTTATTTTTATAATTCACTTTTTGGATCAACAAAATTTTAAACAGATAATACAATTGTAGCAGTTATATCTAAAGTGACTATGTAACAAATATGCGTATTCTATAAATAGCGTCTGCGTAACATAAATATTGCCTTATTGATTTGCAAATAATATAAGTTTTGTAAATTTTTTTCGAATATATGCTTTTTCTTCAGTTTGTTTAGTACTTTCGTAAAATAGTCGCGAATCGATGTAGAAAGAAATAATAGATTTGCAAAGAGTAATCCGATGGTCGTTGAGTACATCGTTACAGAAAAAGTTTTCTATTTGTACATGATCATTCATTAATTTATTTACGAACGGATGTTATAAACTGCGAAAAACTATAGCCACAAGAAATTTCTTTATATTTTTACGATACATGTTCGCTGCTTGCTGTCTGATAACACTCTCACATATTAAGCATATATCGCACACATCCTTTGATGGTGTCAGATAAGAACCCTTATTTTTTATTTTTAATAATGTTGGCATTTCTTCTCCTAGCAATTGTTCCTTACAAATATTGCAATTAATACTTGATCTAACTTTCCAAACGACAAATCCCGCTATGTAGCGAACGACATTATCGACGAAAACAGACAGTCCCCACAACCCATTAATGTAATTGCATGTATGCTGAAGGTCGTATTTACCTTCAAACTGCTTTTTTGAACTGGAAGACGCTTGAAGTATTGGTATTCCATCAAATGTACAATTCGAACTCTTTCAATTCATGTCTAACCAAAAGGCGTCTGTATGCACTTTTGAATTGTATGGCATTAGGATTATTATTGAATCCACCTCTTGCTCGAATAGCACTAAAAAAAGTTTCAAGAAAATCCTGAGAAAGCTTATAACTTAAAAGGTAAGACAACCCACATTGTTTTAATTTATTATATAAAGGGAATATGTTGCGAAGGCAAATTATCATGCCAATAAATCCGGTTTTCCTACCCGTTTCCAAAATTGGTGTATTATTTAAGTCCCTTAGACCTGCAATATATTGTTCAAAACTTTGTGCGTGACATTTCAGCCGGTCATAAGTATTGTCCGTCAAAGGAGCTCTAAACTCGTCTTTTGAAAATCTGTTTTTGGAATTCAGAATATCCCCCAAGTTATTAAAAAACAAGCAAAATTCGGCAGTTGCCGCACTATCTTTAAATTTACTTTTAATTTGTCCGTCCGGTATTACCTTTTCCAAAAATACTAACGATTCTGACACACTTTTGCTTAGTAATTGCATGGCCAATTTTACACTCATTATGCTATTTTTAAAATACACATGACTTTTAGTAATTTTGTTTGCTGTACGAAGTCCTTCTTTCACTTGAATTTCGTGCAACAATTGAAAATATTTCCAGTTAATAATTTGGTCGTCCCTTGACTTTAATATTTGTTTATCGCATAGGCAGTTTCTAACCAGTTTAATCATATGACAAAAGTCGTAAAAAATATAACAGTGGTCGTTTGTAGCGGGATTTGTGAAAAATGGTTTGAAGCTTGGGCCATACATTAAATTTGCACCTAAACACTTGCACACTGCTATATTTGTGGCCGCACCATCGAAAGTTATTGAATAAACAATAGCGCCACAGTTCTTTAGAGCATGAAGTGCTTCAGTTATAATGCTGGCACGTTCTTCTGCTCTTAGAGATCTTATTAAAAAATTTCCTATCGGTATTTTCCTGTGGTCGTTCAAAGAGACTGCCATCAAAACTAAAGCGCTATTTGCAATTTGAGATCTATCACTTTCGATATTAAAATTGAATGTTCCTAAGTCTACTACACCTTGAAAACTATGACGATCATACATTTTTTTTCTCGTGTTGCCATTTCGTCTATAACTAAATTTTCTATGACTTTTTTTAAACCATTTGATCGGAGACCAATAGCATCAAGGGCTTGCTGTGTAAAACCGGGACTGCCATCAATTTTCTGGTACCACTTCCTTATAGTAGAAACATTTGGCAACAAGTTTTTCCATGTCTGTCGTACATATTTGTAAGCTTTTGGAGAGTAAAAATGTAGGGTTAAGGCAAAACTTATTTCATTTACATAAAATTTTGAACCAGTTAACTTGCGAGATATCATTTTCTTGATATTTTCCGGGATGAGCTCCTATAAAAAGATAAGTGTTATCTCCAAATTCAAAAAAAAAGAATGTACAAGAATGTACAGTCCATGTACATATTTATATAAGGGGTATTCTCTGAGTCTTGCAAAGCCCTTGCATGGTGCACAGATTGCACAGATTGCACAGTGAAAACCGGGTTTGGTATGGGACAGCTTTGCAAACCGTGCAATCAGTGCACCGTGCAAGGGCTTTGCAAGACTCAGAGAATACCCCTATAGTATATGATAAATTTCACTTCTCAGCTAATCAACGAAAATAGTACCGTTAGAAATTTATATTGTTAATTTGCCATCATTTCAGCCGCATCGGCGTTAACCAAGTCTTTTTGGTGTAAGTGTAGCATTAATTCCTCAAATTTTGTCACACGCTTGCGTAGATATCGCGCCTTATCTGGAAAAGCTTTTATTAGCTTTGTTTTCTTATTAAATGAGTTCTTTACAAATTTAAGTATTCGACTGGCACGTCTTGACGTTGCTAGATGTGGGGTACTGATTTCCGAAATATAACGCGGCTCTGCATACCGTGGCTTTTTTGTGGCGCAAGGACATTCGTTCGGCTCTATTATGAATTGAACAAGAACATATATGTACATATATTTTAACGTAATAATAGTGCCAGTATCAAGCTCTTGCTCGTCTAACTTACGTTTTGGTGGAACTTCGTTTTGTCTTATCGGTGGGACATTCGCTGGCAACTGATTGTTCTGAGTTGACTGTTTTTGCATTTCAGGAACTGCATGCGGCCATAAATATTTGCAAATGCCTCTTGATGGCTTGTAATCATCCTTTTTGAAATGATTCGAGCAAACTCGCAAATTGTTTGTATCTACACAAGGCTGCAGATTACACACTTCTCTCCATCGCTGCTCCAAAAGCGTATCTTTTGGAAATCTAATTGTAAATATGGTTTATTAAATTTCAAATAGAATTGTAATGTATACTCACCTGTGTAATATTAAGTTTATTCCCCTTCTTTTGCGTGTGCTACGCAACATATTCTCGACATTTTTTTATTGCATATGTAAGTACTAGCTTATACCCGCGGGTTTCACCCCGCGCTTTTATACGAATATAAAAAATAATTTAATGATGTTAGATTTTATTTCTGTGCCCATTTCGTTATAGCTCGTTATTTTTTAAGCGAGTTAAGGTATTTAGGCCGTTTAAAACTATGAAATTATAAAATCTCGTCTGCGCGCTGGCATACGAAAGATATCAATCTCTCTAAGTTTACCTTAAAATGGTTCCAGGTATACGACGCTTGAACGTGTAACCTTCTTGGAGGTGCCACGTCGGGTTCTAATATTTCCAACTCAAATTTAGTAACCTGGCCTTGATAAAATACCACTTTTCCATTTAATGAAATTTATTCTGTCAGTACGGCACTTATAAAATAAATCTCCATTACAAATTTAAAATACTTCGAGAGATTTTCTATCCTTCCAGAGATATGTATTAAAAAGTTTTTAGTATGTATGGGAGGCGACATGCCTTCTTTTTTAATAACTCACATTTTTTCCATGACCAGTTGATACATTTTGTATACACAACTCCATACCAAGTTCCAGTATTCTTCCACAAACACTTCCAGGGATATGTGGCAAGAAAAAGCAAATGTGTACTGGAAGTGCCACGCCCCTTTTTCTTATAACCCTAATCTTCTTCCATGAATTTAGAATTGATTTTACATACCCCAGTACCAAGTTCCAGTACTCTACCAAGAACACCTCAGTATAAAACAGTAAATTTGTACGGGAGGAACCATGTCCCCTTTTCGAATAACGCAAATTTTTCTCCATGAGAATGGAATTAATATTGTATACACATCTCGGTGCCAAGTTCCAGTCCTCTGCAATAAACACCTCCAGAGATATACAGCATAGAAAAATCAATTTGCATGGGAGTTGCCACACCACCTTTTCCAATAAGTCTCATTTTTCTCCATGAGTATGGTATTAGTTTCACATACATACATACATATGTATTTCCATACCAAGCTTCAGTGCTTTACCCCAAACATTTGAAGAGATATGCAATATGAAACTTTCAGTCAGTATGGGAGGTGCTACGCGTCTTTTCCAAAAACGTCCATTTTTCTCCGTGAATATGAACATGATTTTACACAGTGTTGGCAAACTGTTAATCTGAATAACGATTAAAAATTAACGATTAAAATTAATTAGTCGTAATCAACTGTACGATTAATGATAACGCTGGCTGCGATTACGTTTAATTAATTTAAAACATTAATCGTTAATCCAATTAAAAATAAAATCTGATTAATTTGTCTAGTTTGTCCGAGTTTGAAACCAAACACCAGTTATAGTAATTATTTTGTGTTTTACGCTTATAAAAAGCACATAATATAAAAAAATTATAATTACACAGGTCTGCAAAAAAATGGGTTCGGAATGTTCTATAAAAGTGTAGTGTCATTTCCGAAGTAATTTTTTGCGTAGAATCCGAATCCGGGGTTTAAATTGCTCTATCACGTCAGGACCTTGAGATATCCTAACCTAAAAGTGCAAAAAACGCTGTTTTTGCCCATTTTTGAGGTTATGTAGCTACGAAGATGTTGCTCTTCATAAAAAAGTAGACGTGGTATTTTAAAGTATAAGTCTTCCTTGCTCAAATATCTTAATTTTTCACTGAGATATCGCATTTTGAAGTCTCCATGTTTGTGAATGTAATCGACCGTATCACGTCTCATGTTATCTCAATGGATTTTCGAATATCGAAAAATTCACAAACATGGAAACTTCAAAATGCGATATCTCAGTGAAAAATAAAGATATTTAAGCAAACTCAACGGCATTTAAAAGAGGAAGACTTATACTTTAAAATACCACGTTTACTTTTTTATGAAGAGCAAAATCTGCGTAGCTACATAACCTCAAAAATGGGCAAAAACAGCGTTTTTGCACTTTTAGGTTAGGATATCTCAAAATCCTGACGTGATAGAGCAATTTAAACCCCGGATTCGGATTCTACGCAAAAAATTACTTCGAAAATGACCCTACACTTTCCTAGAACAAAACGTTGTTGACCTGTGTTATTGTTATTAGTAATACATAAACTGCGAACTTTTACAAACCTAGTTTGTAAAACGTTTATTGGTATATATCTTAATGAAAATGCACCCCAAATTGCTTAGATTGATGAGGAAAGCCGACTTAGCCATACCGGATTAACTTGGTATGTGTGCACAGGGAAATTCCAGCATAACTTAATTAATCACCAAACCTAGTTGATCAAAATAAGAGTTAATGATTAAAAATTAATTTTTTAATCGCGGTTATGATTAACTGTTTGGTCAGATTAAAATTAATCATGATTAACTGTAATCAGATTGAATTTAATCGAATTAACTAACTGATTAAAACATCAATCGATTAAAGCCAACATTGATTTCACATACATATCACAATACCAAGTTTCAGTTCTCCCCATACTTCCAGAGATATATATGTAATATGAAAATTCCAATTTGTATGGGAGGGGCCTTGAGTTACCAGACTTAATTTCAGTCTAAGACCATCCTTCCGAAATCCGTAGTAAGTGTACTAAATTTCGTTCTGATCGGAAAACCGGTTAAGGAAGTAGCCTATTTTTCAATCCAGGTCATAAACCATCTTTGAGCAAAATTCCATTTTCAAACAGGTGGAAATTCTTAAAAAAGTAGCCTATTTTCCAGTCTAGGTCATAAGCTATCTGTGTGTAAACTTTCATGCAAATCAGTTCAGTCATTTACGCGTATTAATTTAATTAAACTTTCCTAATACGTGATAACTCTTTAAATAGTAGCCTATTTTCCAACATAGGTCATAAGCTATCTCCGTGCGAAATGTCATGCAAATCTGTTCAGTCGTTTCCGCGTAAAATTTAATTAAAATTTTTTAACAGGTGGCAACTCTTCCAAAAAATTAGCCTATTTCCCACTGTAGGTCATAAGCTATCTGCTTGCAAAATTTCATGCAAATCCATTCAGTCGTTTCCGGGTATTAATTTAATGAAACTTTTTTAACTGGTGGCAACTCTTAAGAAAAGTAGCCTATTTCCAATCCAGGTCATAAGCTATCTGTGTGCAAATTTTCATGCAAATCCATTCAGTCGTTCCCGCATATTAAATAAGTTAAACTTTTTTAACAGGTGGCAACTCTTAAAAAAATAGCCTATTAACCAATCTAGCCCATAAGCTATCTGCGTACAAAATTTCATGCAAATCCGTTCAGTCGTTTCCGCGTGATGATTTCCCAAACAGCCAAACATACAAACTTTCACATTTATAATATTAGTAAGATATGTAAGTCCTCGCGTAAAATTATAAAATTAAATCGAATTCAATTACAATTACAATTATGAACGGCTTTTAGTAGAAATTTTTTCATTGAAACGCTCATGACTTTTTTATGTCACTTTTGAAATAATCATATTCGCCTGCCTCCCTCTAAAAACAATATATCTGTACTGTAGTGTTTTCGGACGGTACTAGCTCTTACTGCCAATATAGGAGTATTACATATATGATTTTCAATCTTTATACACTTAAAATGAAATTTGTGAAACCAAAATTCAATTTCCAAATGTTTGCATTTAAGTAACAAAAAAAAACTACGTGAATCAGCTGTTTCTCAAATTCTGGGCACGAAATGTGGTTTTTTGCGTTCCCGTACTTCTGCGCTTTGTTCAATTTTTGAGAGCAAACTTTTTGATTATTCTCTAATTAGCGGATCCGGTCCGGATTGTTAGGGAAAGAACCTAATAATTTCTCTTTGTTTACATTTATATTTGTTATCATCTCCTCATTTCCAAATATGGTTTAGTTTTTTTTAAATATGGTCACCCAAATTATAAAGGCGACCAAATGGTATCAGCTGTTCTCGCTACCGCTCTAATTCTGTCGACAGCATCGCCCAATTCGGCGAAGTTTGCCGTTCGCCGGAATTGTATTTCAAGCATTTCATAACGATTTCGATGTAATAATATCCCAACGGTTTTTACCCTCCATTCCCGCCCATCCGCACGAAGGGCGCAGTCCGCATTACGTACGGAACCAGTATTTTCAATTTTTGCGCCGAGTCACGATAAGCAGGAGTTTGTTAAGTGTCGAGACCTAAAACTGTTCAGCTACAGAACTAAATTCATCAGCCGATGTTATGTCTTTATTTTAATGATTCATTTATTGAGAGAGGACAGTATCGATTTCTTAATGCTGAAAAGCGGATCTGATATATCAAACGTGCTGGAATGAGAGTTAAAATCCTGGCATAAGGAACGGAGTGGGTCGTGCAATTCAAAATTAGTTTTACAAGCTTTCAGAAATAGGGGACAAAAGTGTCTTGATACCCGGGAGTGAACATTAAGGCTAACTTCGCCAAGAAGAAGCGGACTTGAAATTGAGCCTGTTAGTAATTTAACTATAAAAATTATACCAAGAATTTGCCTGCGGCTGGAAAGTGTAGGAAGATTAATAAGTTTTAATCGGCTCGTATAAGGTGAAAGGTTATATTGAGAATCCCAACGGAAATTTCTTAAAGCAAAAAGTAGGAATTGTTTTTGAATTGATTCTATCTTGTCTGAGTAAATTTGATACCTTGGATTCCAAACCACCGAACCGTATTCCAGAATTGGCCTAACTAATGTTGTAAACAGGGTTTTAGTGATATAAGGGCCACAAAATTCTTTTGACCATCGTTTCACAAATTCAAGTACACCTTTAGCCTTGTTGACTGTCACATTAATATGAAGATTAAAATTAAGCTTAGGATCCATTGTGATACCAAGGTCCACAAAATTGTATACCTGTTCCAGGTTATGGTTACTTACTGTATAAGAAGCGGGATGAACAGCTCTTCGCGAGAAGCTCATTACTTTACATTTCTTAAGA